ATGACAAACTAAGTTGCCAACATACTGCAACATTAGGGACACCAATAATATCCATGTTCCATTGATAATGCTCCCGACGGCGTCCCCGGGTCATTCGCTCATACCGCCAGCACTGTCCAATGGCAAACCATTTTAGCGGAAGGGAAACGGATTTTCTGGACAGAAAAAAACACGGTGATCAAAATCTGGCATCCGTACCTGGAAGCAAGAATCATAGATAACATATAAATATTTTTGTGTTCATTTCGACAGGCTGGTGAAATGTAACAAACATAAATCATAAGAATTTACCCTTTTTGTATTACTAGCCTTGCTAGAGAAGGAGTGAGTTCTGGCCTTAGTGCAACTCTACGGTTTCCACGATCCTCAAAACAATAAAGCTTCATCCATGGAAGAAAAAAATGAAAATAGTTAGCAGCCTGATAAAGACACGCTTGTATACATTGCATGTTCTTTTCAGATTATATACTACTTTTCAGTAAATGCAAGTCCTCCAAAATCTTCGTCTCCATGTAATATGCAAATTTGATTACAAATGAACTGAATTCCGCATAAATTAGATACCAGAAAGATTCATTAAGATAGTAAATCACAAAAGATCTCATAAACCAAGTCATGGTGAATATCATCAGTAAATGTAATAATAGACAGAAATTTATCATTTCATACTGAAATGAGGACCAGGCCAGAAAAAAGAAATAATAAAGAAACCTGGTCTCTGATCTCCTCCCCAGCTTTCCTAATAAACAGCGCCTCTGACTCCAGTACTGGAAAATCAACCTCTTCGAAGCCGAATGATTGTGAAACCTAAGACAACCAACAATACAATCATACTTGGAGAATACATCTCAACAGTACACTCTATGGCTACTTTGTTCATACAAAACATAACTAATTTCTCCATTTTCTCAAACTAATTAACCTTCTATAACAGTATAGTTACAGAAAACAAAGACGTTCATCCCCGCAACTAATGCAAAACATAAAATCCCTTACTGAAAAAAAAAAAGTAACAGCATAGGACATATTTTCTTAATGCATTTGTCTGCAAACCTTAAATGGCAGACCAATTCAATTGCACCATTAACAACTTTCTTCACCTCGCAGGCACTAACTAAACAATCAATTCATTGTACAGTACAATTTAAGACGGACTATCAGAAAAGCTGGGACACCTACGAAAGATTTCTCAGATCGACAAATGGCTATCAAGTACCAAGGTCCAAACACCACAAGTAATTTCCAAATACTTACCTCTCTAAAATTCTGAAACAGCCAATTCCTCAGCCGCATTTCTTC